GGCGCGGGGCCCAGCGCCCCGGGGAAGGGCGCGCACCCCCTGAGGCAACGGGCTGCGGCCCAGTGCTTTTTGAAATGATTTTACTTTTTAGGTGTTAAGTTGTTAACATGCAGGTTGGAGACCGCGCGGTACGGCGGGACTGGAGCGTGGTTTGGGGGTGGGTGAGGCACCGACGTGTCCCCGATCGCTGTGGGCCCTGTGCAGTCACAGCCCGGCTTTGTGTGTGTGCGGCTGAGCTGCCTCCTCCTGTGAGTGGCCGTGGATATTATGTTTAGCTCTTCAGTTAAAAAAATGCCCCTGTTTTTTGACACTTACAGGCCTATTTTGCAGTATTTTTCTCTGGTAGGGTAACTCTGGGAAAACCCTGTCAGAAGGTGGTTGGGTAGGAAGCACGTCACCTCTGGGACTCGTGATTAGTGTCAATGGTATCGCTCCTGCCTCTGTGCTTTAAGTGACTGTATTAATTGAAATAACAGTTAGAAAGTAAGCTGTCTGGAATAATATGTTAATATTGAAATGTTAATTAAATAAAATATTTAGGCTTAGAGGTCTAGATTCGTGCATTGCTTTTCCTAGTTTGCTTTTCCTAGATTCACACATTGCTTTTCCTTTTCCTGTTAAGAACACCCACGATTCTTGTCTCTTTCTTGCTGGGTCCGTTGCCTCCCTTGGCTGTGCCTGTGTGTGCCCTGAAGCCACGGGAGGATGCAGAAGGGTGCAGGGCATTTTGTTGTTGTTGCATTTGCTGTTAAACTCTGTATCTGTGGAAGTGATGCAGAGCCCTGCAGAGATGTGTCCATTGTTCATGTCGGGAACATCTGTTTCGGATGAGGCAGATGGAATAGTCTGGGACTGTTGGTACTGGGGAGCTGTGCTCTCCTTGGGAGGAGGCTCCCGGGCGCAGAGGGCAGGACATGCCATGAATGGCACAGGGAGCAGGCTCTGCTGGACCCGCTGGGCTTTGGTGGAACTGGGTGATTCATACAACTTTGACAGCGTAAGCTGCAAAAAAAAAGTTAACTGCTTTGTATTTGAATAGCTCCTCTATCCAGTTTGGAATACAGTGAGGACATTTTTGATTTTCACATGACTTCCTTGCTCCTCTGTACTCAAGGCACTTGGAGAAGTTCTCAGTCTTTTTTTTAACTATTTATATGTCTCACTACTTTGACTTTGGGTTTTGGTAGCTCTTTTTGTGAGAAACTACAATTATTGGTATTTTACTGAGATCCTTTTGGTGTTTCTCTGTGCACTTTGTCTGAAAATGTGACTCCAGAACACTCGTGTTGAGAGTGTTTCAGCACTTCTGAGTCAAGCCGTTACTGCTTTCTGTGCCTCCTTAGGACGTTATTAAATACTTTTTAAAAAGTATCAGAGTTATATAATCCCAGATGGAAAGAAAGAAAGAGGCCTTGGTTGATAAATCTGGAGGGCTCTTCTGCTTGTAAAGATAGTTGTTGAGATCACTCTAAAGTGATTATTTTGAAATGTTGTTTAATGTCCTTATATGGAAGTGCTCTTTGTCCATTTTCCAGAGCTCTTGCTTTGTGCTGGCTCCCATTAAGAAGCTCTCAGTCTGCCTGGTCCTCACAGTTTACTTCTTGCATCCTGACAGGAACAAAGGAAATGACCCATTTTCCTTCCCCTCTCTTTCTCTCTCCCTGGAATACTTTTCTTAGCAGAAGGTGGTGGGAGGGCACATTCCCGGCCTCTGGATTTGCAGAGGAGGCGACTGGGACTGAACTGGGATCTGCTCCCTCCCGGTGCCTGGCAGCTCCCGGGTGAGGGTGGGAGTTGGTTGGGGTCCAAAGCCAAACTTTGTTAGGTTATCCAGCCTTCAAATCCACATTTGGAGGTTCCTACACTGGAGCACAGTGTCCCCTGTTCCTGCTGGCCTGCCGAAGGGGGACCATGGTTATAACAAAGTTTCTTTGCTTTTGGCTGGTTAATGCAATTGTATCTTATCTCTTCCTTCCTCTTGGAAATACTGTGCCTGTGCTGCTCTGCCCAGCTCACAGATTGCACTAGTGCTTTGAAAATCTAAAGAAAACACAGCAGCTGTGGCTTGCTCTGTTTTTGCCTTTGTTGTGTGGGGGTTTTTTTTTGTGTGTTTTTTAATTTTATTATGGAAAATTGCTGAAAAATGAACCAAGTCGTTTTCCAGAGGTGGGACCATCCAGGTGGTATCAGACACTTGGCTTCATGTTGTTTGGATGTTACACTCAGACAGAGTTCAGGATCTCAGCAGCCGGTGCTGTGTGGGTTAGTCTGCTCCCTGATGAGTCATCACTTGTGAGCGCTGCGTAAGATGTAACACACCGTATTTAGCTAATTCTAGGATGTTGATTGGTAATGATATGGTAAAGCTTCAGGAAGACTGCTCATGGTCATCTGGGGAAGTTGGTGGGTTGAATAATTTTCTAGGAGACCTCATGAGGGCAGTGTTAGGAACTGCAAAATGTGTTGAGGCTAAATAATCAAGATTTCATTTCAGCCTCGGTGATTTACTTAGATGTTGTGGAGCAGCAGGTTGGCTTTGGTGTTTTTTTAATCTAACTTTTAGTTAGCATGTTTCTATTCCAGCAAAATACAGTGGGCCATAAGTAACTGGGCGCTTGTTGCACACAGCGATTCCAGCGGCGCAGCAGCCGTGCTGTGATCACAACAGCTCTCCTGCAGCTTCAGCCACAGCAGCTCTTTGCTCAGAGTAATGCACAAGGTGAACGTGGCTTGCTTGGTAGAACACAGGCTTTGTAAGTTACGTTTGAGGAATATTTTATTATAAATTTAGCTTTTTCTGAGATTATGGACTAATTTTGAAGCCAGATGTGTCACAGAATCAAAATCAAAGGGCCTCACTATTGCTGTGATAACTGACCTATAGCACAAGTGATGTCCTGGAGGGAAAAGACAAGGGCCTGCCAAGCCCGGCTGCTCCGGGTGTCTGAAATGACAGAACAAGCCTTTTTGCTAGTCCTTTGGGTGAGGTTTCACGTGTAGTGTGGGTCAGTGTGGTGGTCACATTCTGCCACAGAACATGGACGTGACTGAAAATACTGTCAGGACCTTCACCCAGACATCCCAGAGGTGTCTGTTCTTGGGAGAATTTTTGTATGCACTAATAATTCTCAAATAGCAGTTTTTGGGCAACAGTTTCATTACATTCACCTATTTATAAACCATCTTACATATGTGGTAAGGGTAAAACTGGAAGGAAAAAGGACTTTCTTATGCTATTCTTATAGGGGGTTGGGAACATAGGATATTTGAGGTTTTAGTTTTATTAGCTAATTACAGAATCAGAGAGCTTAAAACAATAAATAAATGAATTACATCTAGAGTACCATACATGCTCAGCATTAGCTTTGGGGAGGTATTTTTCCTTCTTTAAGGACAGGATGGATGCAAGATCTTTAAGCATACTGAATTTTAATATTTGGAGTTTTAAAGGAATCTTTCTGTTTTAAAACTTTTGGGTATTTAAAAGAAATTGTCTGGGTTCAACATTATGGCTTGTTTATTCCAGTAATCTTTGAGTATGTGACTTCTCATTCTACTAGAATAAAATGTGATTATTATATGCAATTGATCAATTAAAAATTAAAATGAATGTAGGCTTCAAGTCAGTAACATGCACTATGGATTTTATTTTCCAGTGTCCGAAACTTGGAGTGACGAAACATGTCTCAGTCAGGTGAAAAAGTAAAGGTAAAGAGATGGCTGCATAGCCCAAATCTTGTTTCAAATCTAAACTAGTGACTGGAGGGTACCTTATTGCTTCGGATGCTCCGAGGGAGCTGTTCAGCAGAAAGAGAGCTCACCCCTGGGGCTGGGAACAGGCTCTGGGACGTTCCCCGCACACCCCGTGTTCGCTTACGCATTTAGAGTGGTGCCTTTACTGAAGGAAATGTCATTTGACAAACCCTGATTCTAATGTTTTTGCCCATCTGGGTGGGTTTTAAAAGGCTTGTTAGCAAATACCTAATTGCCTTTTAAGTGATTTCCCCCCTGCCCCACTGGAAGGATGGTATTGTATAAAAACTGTTCTCATCATCAGCTCCTCGGGGAAGGAAGCGCTTGGTTCCAGCTGGCCCATAGGTCCCTAAAGGCAGTGGCTGCAGTTCTAGTTGAGGCTCCTGTTAGGTTCTCAGTCCATGGATAACAGATGGGGAACAGAGACTGCCCTTTTTATAGCCCACAGCTCTTTGAGAAGTTTTTCAGGCACGTTTCTTTTTCCTGCTTTTGTGTTAGAAGTTAAACATGGGGAAGATGGGTGAGCCGCTTAACAAGCAGGAGATAAATCTCTGCCATTGTATCTTGGTGATCTCTGTGTTACTATACAGTGTTCTTTTCCTACATGTCAATGTATATGTTATTTATTTAGTTTTATAGAAGATAGTGGCAGCACATACCAAATTTTGACAGGTATTTTTGACTTTTGGCTTAAAATCTTTGGGATTTTTAGCTATATTTACAGCTTAAGATTCATAATAGTGTGTTCTTGCAAGCTTGCAGATTATTATGGAGAGACTTTGGTTTCTGTGTAGTCCAAGGTACTTACAAAATTTCTCTTTATATCAGACTGCTGGGAAAATGGGCCCGTTTCAAGGTCTGCCTTCCTATAGCAGTAAACAAATTGTTTCAGGCTGGTTTTCCATGTGCTTTATATACCTCTGGGCTTGGTTGTATGGGATCAACTGAACTCTGCTTCAACTTGTCAGGGGGAAGGGGATCTCTTTATACTCAACTTCTGTTTTCTTGGCAGTTCTCCGACTCGGCAGGCTATGTGGGGTTTGCTAACCTGCCCAACCAGGTTCACAGGAAATCTGTGAAGAAGGGCTTTGAATTCACACTGATGGTGGTCGGTGAGTGTCTTGTTTAAGTCTTTCTGACTGTTAAACAACAACAACAAAATTCTTTCCCATAGACATATACACTTAGCAATTGGCTGTTACACAGAAGGAAAAACTTTGACCTTTTCCACACTCTCCAATTAAATCTCTTACTATTTTGTCATGTTTGGTAGGAGGGAGTATTTGTAGCGATTTAAGATGATAACTTTGAGCCAACGGGACATTCTTGTGTTCCTGACTCACCATCAGATGGTGGGGATGGTTCCTTATTCTTTCTTTGACGCCCATTTCCTCAGCTGAAAGCACGAGTGCACAGGGTGAATGTCTGGCTGTCGAGATGGTGAGGCCATTGTGTTTCCTGCTGTTCTGCACTGACTCACTCTGGTGTTAAAACTAAGCTTTTCATCTGCCTGTTCTGGGAAGGAGCACCTGTAGCAGTCCTTGGTGGAAAGTCCCTTGGGCACAGAGTTGGTTTAAGTGACATGATGAATTGTGCTTGTGTTGGATCAGTTTAATGTCACACAAGTGCAAAGGGAGCCCATGGTACTATCCCCTCTTTGTAGCAGTTACCTTGGAATTCCATGTTATGGAAAAATGAAACTGAGATGTATAATGCTTCCTTCTTATCCTCTGTGCCCTGTAGTGCCCTTTGGATTTATTTAGTGACAGAGCATTCAGCAATGTCTGTAAAATAAATAGGTAATTTGTGATAAGTGGAAAGTTCTTCTATTTTGTGTAGTTTGTGATGATAAATACAGGTAACGTCTCCATCTCTTAAGGTTAGGTCAGTACCATCTGAAATAACACGGCCAATTGTTCTAAATCCTGACTCCTTTGATTCCTTGGGTTAGGAAAAAGTGACTTTTTGAAATCCAGATTTAGTAATTGCATTTACAGGTTTAACTTCAGTACTTTGATGTAGGACCAAATGTGTATGACCTGAAGTTCTAGAATTATGGAACTTTGAATTTTGAATAATCTTCTGTGATTTTCTGTCTCATGTTTCATAGGACATACGTAGCTTGACCATAAGGGTGCAAAGCTCAGCTGTTAGTTTGGGATTGCATTATTCCTTCTCCCTCCTAACAGTGTTCCACGTTCAATTTCTAGCTTAGGAAAACCTCAAAGCTCTCAGAAATTTTCAACAAGAGAGTTACAGCTGCTGATTTTGTAAGTTTATGTGAAAAAAGCGCTTTTATTTTCCTGAAGTAACCTATCTCTAGATCTATAGTCAGTGCTGTATGACCTTTCAGCTTTTATTATGAAATGTATTACAGTAAACTTAGCATTTTCATGTAACGTTTATAAAAGCACTAGAGGCTTGTTTTTCCTGTGTTTTAAAGTGCTTAGCTGAGCCTTTGATGTTTTTTATCTCAAAAAAACTAGGGTGGATCCTGATGAACAAATTATTTTTTCTCCATAATGTGGGCTTGGGGAAAAGGGAGGTGCCTTTAGAAGCCTGGAGAAAAAGATGTATATGCTTAATAACCTGAATTATTTTGTTTGTAGGTGAGTCTGGCTTGGGAAAATCCACTTTAATTAACAGTCTGTTCCTGACTGATCTCTATCCAGAACGTTATATTCCTGGAGCTGCAGGTAAATGTGGTTTTGCAGTTTCTCCAGACCATATCTTATGAAATCTCGTGTTCTTCCAGTTGACTTTGCTTCATTCTGATAACTTCACCCATGAGACCCTTTCTTCATGCTGTCTAGATGTATTTTAATCCTCCAAATTATATATTTTTTGAGCTGTCATCTTCTCATTTCTGTTTCCTTCCAACAGCTTTTGTTGTTTCTTCATCAATTTTTATTAAAGAAACAACCCCCCCATACCTAAATGTGGTTGAGCTTTAATCCCCATTTCCTCTAATTATTTGCCTTTAATGCCTTAAATCCTGGTTAGAGGCATAAATGCTTTTTGATAAAGGATCTAGCATGCTTCTGAGTGTTACTACTTTCTTTTTGCATTTGTCATGAGTAAATCCCCCTTCTTCAATTAATTGCTTCTTGTTTATTTACAAAAATGTGGTGTTAAATTTTGACTAGCCAGCTTTGGTTTTTTCCTTTAAAATATTTTGTGATGTAGGTTACAGCACACTCCAAATTGCCTTTTCTCCCCTGTTGCCCTCTCCTGTAGGGGTTGCTGCAGCCATCGATAGGCCTAATAACAATCACAATGTTCCTTTATTTTAGAGAAAATAGAGAGAACTGTTCAAATTGAAGCTTCCACGGTGGAGATAGAGGAGCGAGGGGTGAAGCTGCGTTTAACGGTGGTTGACACACCGGGGTACGGAGATGCCATCAACAGCCAGGACTGGTACGTGTGGGAATGCTGCTCCGCTCGGTCCCATCTGCCTCATAAACAGGGCTCTGTCTGTCTCCAGTGGGGCAGAACTCTGGTGGAGGGAAATTCTGTCTTTTTGTGTCTCTGGCCCATCCAGTTTCCCTGGTTTTAAGACAACGCTTTTCATTCCCTGTCCTTCATATGTACTACTAGCAATCTGGAGAGAATTGCATTTTTTTAATGGTGGAGCTACTATGTAGCTCTCTCTGGCCTAAATGTCGCTGATAATCTCTAACGGATGAAATAATTGTCCGCGGATACGCTGAACAATGCATATGTACTACTAGCAATCTGGAGAGAATTACATTTTTTAAAGTGATGGAGCTACTGTGTAGCTCTCTCTGGCCTAAAATTCGCTGATAATCTTTAACGGATGAAATAATTGTCTGCGGATACACTGAACAATATACATAATTGCTTTAGCATAAAGGTTATGAAGAAAGAAAATGGTCAAGTAGCTATGAAGGAATTGGGCAGTTTGTAACAAAACTAGAATTAATAAGTTTCTTCATAAATGTAATTTCCAAATCATCGTCGTCATGCACTTGTCTTTAACTGTGGAAGACTGATCCTGGGATAATGTTTTTCAAATAAAGACGAGGTCTATTAACATGCTTACCTGAATTATTGCAGTGCAACTAGAAGCTAAACTTTGAATTTTCATGTGGTTGTCTTGTAAGAAGTGCTAGCAGTGTTTATTTTGCTTTGCCATTAATTTTTGTTGACACTTTTTTGTGGTGGTGACCCTAAGGCAAACAAACTGCCACTGTGCAGAGAAGGGGAGCATAAAGCTAATACTGGTTGATTTGAGTCCTTCAGTATAAGGTAAAGATCAGGAAGGAGGCAAATAACTGATAAAATAAACATCTCTAGTGGCAATAGAATGTTGTGTAATCTTTTCTTGACAGAACGCTGGGTTATCTGGAGCCTTGTGAAGAACATTGTTATCAGGCGTGTTTTTTCTTTGCTCTCCATGGTGTGCTGCAGGAACAGCAGAACTGAAGGCAGTGAAGTCGTGGTACACTGACTGAAAGTTTGAGAGTGAAGCTGCACTGGGATTTTTATTTTTATTTTCCTCCCAGTTTTCCTACCTTATTAAGTTAAAAATAATTAAACTTTTAGAGTAGGTCTGAGGCATCTTTCTGGAGTGCAGTGTGGCCTTGCTTATTTTGTGCACTGTTGACTAGAGCTTCCTTCCGCTGGAGCGAGGAGCCCTGCAGCCTGTGCATTGTGTGACGCAGGGCTCTTCCTGTTGATTGTGTTCTAATGCCCTTTGTTTATTCTGCTAAAATGTTTCTTAGAGACCTACGTGTTTGGATTTTTCCCCTTTCTTTTTGGAGCCTTGCTAAATAGAGTCATTCCGTGGTGATTCAGAGCCAGTAGAACAGTTCACTGGTTTATACTTAGTTTTCTGTGACAAATCTTAAACATCAACATACATTACGGGAACAAATAGTACTTACATACTACAAAATTAAAAGATACAGTTAACTTTAATTGTTTCTCTCTCTAGTCCTGTTTCCTTATGTCACATAAAAAGACTGTTTAAGCCGTGACAAGCGTCATTTTGCCAAAGTCTGTTGGTTTTTCTAGGATGTCCCGGGGCTGGGATGGACAGGTCTGTGTTCCAAGCTGCACCAGGAGAGCGTGGTGCAGCTGCCTCCTGTCCTCGTAGCTCAGAGGAAGCAATGAGTTCATGTTCTTGGACTTACCTTTGTGTTCAGGAGCACTTTCCGCAGTTGAGCGTAACCGGTAGATGGTGCTGATCTTGGTTCGAGTTTCATAAAACCCTTTTTTGGGGAAAGCTGCGATTTGTGCAGACTACCTGCTTTTCGGGGTGATGAATTTTTATAAGGTTATTTTCAAGCAGAGGCAAATCAAAGAGGCACGATGTCCCCGGGAGGCAGCAGTTGCTGATGCTGTTTTAAATGTCTTTCTCCTAAATAGATTTCCTAATGGCTTTTGGCTTTTGGCTTCTGCCTTTGCATTGATGAAAGGACTTAATTTTACAGTTTGACTTTCAAGGATGGGAGCTGGGGTCAATTTTTATGTATTTTCTATGGCAGAAGAAGTGCTGGTAAGGATTATGTGTTGTCAGGAGTCTGTCCAAGGGAACTTGTCCTGGACTGGAAGAATAACGGTGTTGGATTGGCAAAGGAGTTGTTACAGATTTTGTACAATGCATTCTCTAAAATAGATTGTTTTTTGTTTCCCAAACGCTGTTGTGCTTAAAACAGCCTGTGAGAAAAGGTGGATGCTGACCACAATTAACTATAGGGATAACTTTTTAGATCGTGTGAAGCTTTAGTGCCAGCTGGAGCTCTGGAGTCTAAGTTCAGCCTGTGCCTGGGAACGCTCTGGCATCGCTCCGGGTGGGTGTCTGGAGCCCAGCAGAGCTCTGTGCTGCGGGTTTGCAGCGTGTGGTGATTCCTCCCTACCCAAGGGCATTGGGGTCATGAGAGAAACGTGTCTTTAAGGCAATGTCCTTCATCAGACAGAAAGGATCTGATGAGAGGAGGAAAGAGAAATTGCTTCATGCATGGATTTGGGATCAAATTTGGCATCAAAAAGATGGTTTTGACAAAACCAGTCCAGATGACTTTAACTTGCCACTCTGGGTTGCAGTGCTGCAGGCCATCCTTTGGTCCCGGCGTTCTGCCTGCTGCTGGCTTTCTTTTTTAACAAACATATGTTAAGCTGTATTTTGTGCTTTTTGGCAGCTTGGTAATTTTGTTTGTTTTCCCTCGATGGGCTGAATGCAGTGGTGTTGTTTGGTGTCCATACAGGATGTGCTCTCTGCTCCTAATGTCAGCGCTGCCTGAGCCAGGTGCTTCCCGGAAGCGGGGAGGTACAGGACACCAGCGCCACAGCTAGAGGGAAAATTAGAGCTATTAGTGCTAGAAAACAGCACGTAAACTAATTGCGTTGCCAGATAAATGTGTGATAGTTACTTTCCCATGTTCGTGCTTGGTTTCTGTCCTAATATTTGTATGTCTTCAGTTTAGTTACCTTTCACCAGCTGAGAGCAACAGGAACATAAAACATGCTGTCCTTTTCCAACACATCTAGGCATTAAGCTGCTGGTTCTTAAAGAGTTGAGCAGCACCAAGGTCAAAACCTACTAAATTCCCTGTTGTGCTGTGTGGTCTTCTGTAGTATGATGTAGAATGGTGCAAATCTTGCAAAGATATAAATATGTATGTATATATTCTGCTGGGGATCTGTTTCTCTGGATCCAAACACTTACTCTGCTTTGGCCGATCCACTTCCCTCCAGGTTCTCTTCCATCATTCTTGTTACTCTCTTCCATGACCATCATTCCAGCCCCCAGCCCAGGGCTGAGCTGTGCAGCCCAGCACAGCATTTGCCATCATTCTGTGTCTTCATTTACCGGATTACTAATTCTTTTTTTTTTTTTGTATTCTCTTGTCTGTTTCATCATTAAATTTCTCTGTCAAATGTCACTTTCTCAGCAAAAGAAATACTATTTTCCAAGTTAAGCTTTCTGCTCGGTTTTTCCCCAAGCAGTTTAAGATGTATTCCTGACACAAGCATCTGCCTAATCTTATCTTCATCAGTGTGTTCATTTCCCTTTCCCTGTGGTACTTAATATGAAGTGTCCTTTTATATTAATGTTGTTTGCAGGTGTCTACATGCTCTGGAATATCTTCTTAGTAATGCATTGTGTTCTCTTTTCTCTCTCTAATCACTGCTCTGTGTATCTGATTAATCTATATGATGAAATCTTGTGTTCCTTTACTTCTTTGCAGGGCATATTTTAAATTGCCTTGAACTAAGTAGGAATTATTTTTCTTTGCCAACAGAAAAGGATTCTGTAAGGTAACAAAAATAGCTTAATAAATCATGTGATGCTTTAGTGCATGACTTGCAAATGTATTTGTCCTTAATTCAAACAGACTAGAATACCAGGATTTTCATAGGTAACTATAGAAACCCAGCTCTGGGGTCAGGGCTGTAAATCAAGAGGATGTCCGGGATATGTCAGTAGTCAGCTGGTTTAAAAACAAATCCCCACTCCCTGCCCTCAGGCAAAAAGCAGAAAAATCCTCAATCTACTGTTCCTGTCTGTGTTGTCTCAGTGCACTGACTGCTTTTTTCCTGATCTTGCACTTGAACTTTTTATCCAGTGGCCGGAGTAATGCTTGAATGTAGCTCTGGGTGTAAATTGACACTTGGTGCTTGCTGTGAAAACATCTTCTTGTGTTATCAAAATACGTTTCCTCAGTAGTGGTACAATGCTAGGAAATTGAATTTTTGTAACAGAAGAGTTCTTAAGAACATAACAAGGAGAATCGCACTTTTATTATCTTTTCGTAATTCTTTTTTTATCATTTTAAAGCTGATCTAAGATGCCTCTCTTTTTCCTCCCCCTCCCATACCACAGTTTCAAAACAATAATCCAGTACATTGACAACCAGTTTGAGAGGTACCTCCATGATGAGAGCGGTCTGAACAGGCGCCACATCATAGACAACAGGGTCCATTGCTGTTTTTACTTCATCTCGCCCTTTGGCCATGGGTAAGAAAAAGCTCTTGAGCTCTTCTATTTTAGGGTGTTATATTGTGTTCCTAAGTCTGTTCATTACTTGAACTGGAAACTTAACTTTAATTGAGTTACTTCCTACGCTGTCAGTTAGCCAGTGCAATTAAAATGGTCTTTGGGGATTAATGCTCTCCTCTGATTTGTCCCCTTTTTGGCATTTATTACTGTTTTGAAGCAGTCAGTGTTATGTTGTTTATCATGCAGAAACATAAAAGCTTATAATATCCGATTAATCTTATAGTGGCAATTTTAATTGCAATTCAACCTTTATACAACCAAGCTGATAAACAAGCACTCTGACTTAATTTATTCTGGAAATACTATTTATGTAGATACTTGAAATAAATAACTTTTAATACACTTGGTCTGTTAAGAAACAAGCAAACAAAAACCCATGCCTTTTTTTTTTTTTCTGTTGTTTTTTCCACTTGTTGGCAGGCTGAAACCTTTAGATGTAGAATTCATGAAGGCTCTTCATGGCAAAGTGAACATTGTCCCTGTGATTGCCAAGGCCGACACGCTGACGCTGAAGGAGAGAGAGCGGCTGAAGAGAAGGGTAGGTCTGACACTTGTTCAGGAGAACAATGCAGCCCCTACAGTGTAAAGCCAAATATGAAGGAAATTCAGACTGAAGAGGGGTGAATGATACTGACCAAGGAACTCACCTTCGGGAAGTGTGGGGTGGGAGATCTTCACTGAAGCCTGCTGTGCTTTACCAGTTACACTTACAAGGAAAATTGCCCAAGAAATGGAATAAACCCTCTGTATCTGAGGAAGTTGCAAGTGGGGACGTTTGTGACTGTTTGAACCTTGTGTGCAATGTGGACAAACATTTTCACTGAAGGGGAAGAGAGGTATTTATAGAAAAGTGACTAGGTTTGTGATGAACTGGGGTATGTGGGAGAACTAATTCATTGAGGTAAAAAGCACCTCTAGATCTTGCTAGGAGAAATCCTGTCCAGGCTCTTGAGCTTCTGTTTTGTTCCTCTGTGAATGCTCTGAGGAGATGACGGTTTCCATGGGCAAATGGGAGGAACTGGTAGGGAGATAACAAAGCAGGGATAATGGCTGCTTATCCTGGTTTCACCCCTTCTGTTTCTGTGGCTGCACTGACTTTGTGAAGGGTTTTGATCTGATAGTAATGTTGTTTGTGGAGCTGCTACTTGTTATAAAGAAACCGTATTTGATCTTTCAGCACTGTGCTTCAGGCTCAGTTTTCATATGTACTTAATTTTTGGTTCAGCATTCAGTAGCAGAATGATGTTGAAAGATTTGAAGCAGGCATTTAAGTGGAACCTTATTTATTTGGCAATATAATTCATTGGGAATCTGAACATTCTGCTTTGTCAGTTCAAATGCATAAAATAAAAGGATATGAAATAGGTTCTAGCTACAGTCATCTTTTGCAAAAGCAGTTCTTAGGTGAAATGAAGAGGAACATACTCTTACCAGGTTTCAGTACTTGCTGTAATTCTTTTGGGGAATCTTCTTCTGAGCTCCTTTCATCTGCTGCTCGGAGGCCTCTCAGGGTTGAGCACAGCAACGAGCTCTTTGCCAGTCACCTCCAGTTACCCCAGATTTCAGCTGGAACATGGCAGTAGCACAGGCAAACATGTTTCCCAGTGTGAGTGTGGAGTTGCTTGTTTTCTAGTACGGGTCTGTAAGTGATGTTAGACTGAGGGTTTGTGATGTATGGTAACTGGGGAGGATGGAGATGAATCCCAGTTTACGTGCCCTGTGATGAACTGATTATTTAAAGGCAACCTCTCTTGACATATTCAGTGCTAAGTGCTTTCTAGTTTGAGCAAAGTTACTTTTAACTAATTGGTCTTTAAACCAGCCTTGACTTACACGTATGGACACCACACTTGTGCACTGGGTAAATGTAAGGGGATGAATGGGGCTTGTGCTGCAGCCCGAGGGAGGGGGGAGGAACAGGTAAACACGTCTCATTATTTTTGTGCTGCTGGCAAAGGTCACTCCACAAATGGAGTTTACACTGAGTCAAATGTATCATGTGGTTCCAAAGCTTTGAAAGTCTGGCTACTGTATATTGTTCTAACTCAAAGCGTCTTGGCTAAAAGAATCCCTAATCAAGAGTAAGAATCAAAATCCTGCTTTGCTGACGCAGCTTGAAGTCTTATTTTTTTTAGATGTTTCTGCCATTTGGCCATCAATCTAAAGTAAAATGTTTTTGTTTTGCCGCCTTGGACTAAGTAGCAAGATCAGTTTGTGGTGCTTGCAAAGGAAACCCAGCTTGGAGTAATTCCTGTTTGGTCTTTCTGGAATTCAAAGTTATTTTTTAAAACTGTTGAGTGGGAAGAAATGCAAGGCAGTTTCACAAGCTGTGCCATGCAAGGCTGCTAAGGAAACCTGCTCAAAAGAATGACTTCATGAGAGGGGAACTAATATTTTGACTTTTTTTTTGATTTCCCATGGGAAGGCTAATCTTTAGGAACACAGAACCCTCTGAGGCCAATAAAATTCAGATTTGAAGAAGCAAAACGCTGCTTCATTGTTAGGACCATAAAATACAGTTTGTTTTTATTGCAATTCTTTTTCCTTTCAGGAAAGCACTAGGTTTAACAGCTGTAATATATTATTCTAGCACCCCTTGTTGTCGACTTTCCCGTTATTGTTTCACTTGTATTTTATCTTCAAGATCTCAGCCAGGTTAAATGTGCTTTCTTGCTTTATGCAGCTACTGAGAGGCAAGGGCTGCAGCGCTGCCCCTCTCCCAGCTGTGCATCTTCTGCTGCCATTTGCTGACAACTTCATTATCTTCCTTTTTGCAGAACAGTAGCAATGTGTTGGTTTAAATGTAACTGTGTGAAGGTAGCTCTTAATTGCTTATTGGCAACACCTTCTCCCAAATTTCTTTTTTCCTTTAAAAGTACTGCTCTTTGTGTAGGTGGGGGCTAATAATATTTAATTGAGTGTGCACGCGTGTGTGAGTGCGGGGGATGTTTATATACCTGGCAGGAAAACATTGTCAGGGGAATAGCTGTGCTTCAAACGTGATCATTCCTCTTCTCGTGGTGTGAGGGATTGTTTTAATTTAACCAGCTGTTCAATAATAGTTTAATAGCTCCTCTTGGACAAGTTTCACTTGTACTGTAGCTATCGGATGCGATTGCACAGAGATGGGGGAACCCAGCAGAGCTTTGGGGAGGCTCGTTGGGACCCCGCGTCCATCTGAAGTCTGCTCCTATTTGTGGTGTGTTGTCCAGTTCATGTCCAGTTACATATGGAGTAATGACAGAACAAGTCCTTACAGTGCCTTTTCCAAATGGTCTTACAATTACCTCAACCCCCCTGATTTTGCCCAAACTCTGACCGCTGTGAGTTCATTACTGCTGTGGTGGGGTTGGGGGTTGCAGCTCGTTAGGGAATAAATACTCATCAAGGAAGCTGGCCCAGGTAACCTGTTCTGCTGAGACACCCACAGCGCATCCTCCGTGCTCTCTCGTGCCACCACACTTCCCTCAGTGACAGAACATCTCGGTGCCTCGGGTGGGTTTCTGACATAAATGTCTGTAATAGCGTGGCAGCAGGAGCGTTCCCCTGGGGAGAGAAGTGACTGTGCCACCCCTGGGGGCTGCCACAGCCCGGGTGACACTCTCACCCTGGGGCCCTTCATCAGGGAAGGAGGGTGTACAGGAACACAGGGCAGCAACACCACTAGTAACAATAAAGCAAGCTGTTTATGGATGTACCACTAGTAACAATAAAGCAAGCTGTTTATGTGTGGTTTTTCTCTGAGTGGATTTAGAATAACTTTCTCCAGTTTAAGTGGATCATAAGCTTTTGTCTTTTTCATTCAAGAGGCAACAGCCCTGTCTCTTTACAGTTTTGTACATCTGAAATACATGAAAATATACTTTGACATGAGCTGTGTGGTTTTGATGCTGTAACTAATGAATCCTTCTACCATTCACTGCTTTTACTTTTTTTTCATATAAACTTCACTGGTTTTGTCTGCTCCTTTATTATGCTCCATGTAAATCTCCTGGGTTTTTAAAAATGTAATTGCTACGTTTTCTAAAAATGCATTTTTCATTTGTGCTTTTTAAAAAAATCTTTAAGTTTGTGTTATTTGGCACTTTGTACATGGACTCAGGTACTATCTGTTAGTCTTCAGAAAGCACTGTGCCAGAGTGCATTGTGTTACAGACACTGTATGAGTTTTGCAGCTGACATTCATAGCAACTGGTGTCCTGATTCCCATGTTTGTTCCCTGAGTACAAGTACAGATTGTTGTCTGAAGGCCTTTATTTTAAATCTGTATTTCTGTATGACTGCACAGAAGTGCTAGTGAAGGTCACATCCATCAGGAATGTCACAAAACACCTTTAGAGTCTGTTCTTCTTGGGACAGAGGGACGGGTGAGCTGCTGCTGGGGCTTAGCTGTGTCTGAGTGCGCAGAGCGATCGCAGGGTCTATTGTAGGTTCCTTTCTTCATTTTGAGTTCTCTAGATGCAACAGACAAATCAATCAATTCTATGTATTTTTGTCTTAATACCTCTTCAATGAAATAAGAATTTATTATTATTCCCTTTTTGTAAACTTCAGGTTCTAGATGAGATTTCTGAACATGGCATTAGGATCTATCAGCTCCCTGATGCAGATTCTGATGAAGATGAGGAGTTTAAAGAACAAACCAGAGTTTTAAAGGCAAGTTTCACTCCTAATCTATCATTTTGCTGCAGTAGTTCTACAAGCCTACAGTAAGCTTAAAAGTACTTTATTGCTTTAGAATATTTTGAAAATTCAAGTTTTCTTTGGATGTTGACTCTGAATTAGTCCTTTTTATTCCAGTCTAGTGTGTCATGACGTTCTTTTCTCTTTTAAATGTAAGTGACTCTTCTCCAAGAGCTGTGATTTGCAGTCTGTTTCCTGACTCAATCCTTTTAACATGCAAGCAAAGAGAGTGCCCTGTGAATGTGTTGTGGTTACTACACTAATTAGCAACTTTCCTCTCATTAGAGCAGATAATAAAGGTTTTACTGCAGTCATTTTCTCTCTGTGCTGTGACGCTTGCAAAGGTGCTTGAGGAACGTCTCTGAAATTCTCTCCTGACCCTTCAGCGTGTGGCTGTTGGCCCGTTTCCAGGGGTGATGTTATGGCAGATGACGACAGGTTGTACCCAGCCTGTACTTCAACAACAGTCAAGTGTTCCTAAAGCAAAGCATCATTTCCTGCTGTGCCTCCGAGACAAAGAGGTCTGATGAACCTGCAGGTGTTAATAGTGTGAGGCTGCATTGCCAGGAATTGGATTCGTTGGGTTTCTGATGTGGAAGGATTTTAGTAGAGTGCATTTCTCAATATTTCTTTTTTCCCCTCTCTGGTCTGTTACTTAAAAGTCTTTGCGATTTTCTTAAAAGAAAAATAAAAAGCAACCAATCAAACCCCAAAGCAGTACCTTGTTTTGCTCCCTCTAACTAGGCTAGCATTCCCTTCGCCGTCATTGGATCCAACCAACTTATTGAGGTGAAAGGGAAAAAAATCAGAGGCCGTCTGTATCCCTGGGGAGTTGTTGAAGTTGAAAATCCAGAGCACAACGATTTCCTGAAGTTACGCACAATGCTGGTGTGAGTAATGGTAAAATGATCCATCTCCTGGGGTGATGTCACCGTTACAATGACGAGAGAGGTACCAGAACGTGATCTCCTTAACTCAGATCCAGCTCTGCAGGCAGCTGAGAGTGACTTTTTTGCCCCCTGCAGCTTGTTTTGCTGCTGTAACTCTCTGATCTCTGAATTCAGAAAATATTTTCTGTATTTTACATTGGTTCACAGAAGGCATAAAAACTGTCACATGTATCTGACAATCTCCTGGCTTTACATACAAATTGACATTTTCTCATCATGCAATGGGTGGGGCAGAAAGGCTTTTAAAATATGGCTCAAAATGATGGATTAAAGCATGAGGAGTGTTCTAAAGGTAAAGCTCCGTTTTCTCAGCAGTGTGGGAAGTCCTATTTTGAATATGGTACCCTGTCCCTTTCTGATTTGAGCTGATATGATTTGATCTCTATTCTGCCTCGAGATTTTTTTTTAATTGAAAAAAATTCCATTTTTTGAAAATCTTTTTAAAAAATGATATCTGGGCGTTGTTGGAAATGGAATCCTGTGACGTAGCCCTGATCTCAGTCTGCGCCGGGCAGGGGTTGCCCTCTGCTGGTCACCGATAACCGGCATCTCTTCTTCTGGCACTCGGGAGCTGTTAGGCAATGTCCGCTGTGATGGGATCCCGGGAGCTCCACCTAGCTCTCAGTTACAAATTATACTTAATAGCACTTAAGAGTCAAAAAATACTTTAGGAATTAAAGTATCTTTCTCAATAACAGCCTTCACAAGGTTCTTGCACAACAAAGACCGGTTAATACAGCTCCTGTACAATAATTAGTAAACAAGAAGAGGAGTAACAGACTCTCTATCTTTGAAGAAGATTGGTGGAGAGCACTTAAGTGCAAATTAAAGACCAATAAACATGAAAGCCGTGTCCTGGCTGGCTTTGTGGCAGACCGGGTCTGTAGGGATTATTTTCCCAGTAAATACATCCATTATATAAAACAAAAATAGAAGATAAAAAAGGATGTTTTTCCTTCTTTGACAAGAAGGACAAAGTGTTCACTAGCCCTTTGTGTGTTGCAGGACGCACATGCAGGACCTGCAGGAGGTGACCCAGGATCTGCACTACGAGAACTTCCGCTCGGAGAGGCTCAAACGCACTGGCAAGTGAGTGTGTGCCCTTGGGCTGGGCTGCTTGGGAGAGCCTTCAGTTCCCACTGGGACCTGCGACTTGCTCTTCCTCCTGTAACGAGTTATTTCTCATGGCACTTCAACCTGTGGCACTACTGAAATTTGTATGAAATGCTCTTCTTGAAGAGCAGTAATATCTAGCAATGTGCTGTGCTTACACACAGCTGGTCTTGCGTTCACATCCATTCCCTTTTCTCAAGGCTTTTAATTGGAATTTGCCCAGAGAGGCAGTGGGCTGTGAGCAAGACAGGTTTTTATTTAATTGTATCTCCTTGGAAAAAGTAAATTCCAGTGGACACATTTAAATAGCCCCAGCCCATCTGATCAGGTCAGGTGTAGCTTCTTCAGCTGTAAGGCTGCTTTGGTGGGTGTTCTCATGTTCCTTCACACAGAGCTAGAGAGAGAGGTTTAGACCAGACCACACAATCTTTTTTTTGGTAATGTGTGCGGGTTTTGTGGATTATTTTTTTTTTCTTGGTAAGGATTCTGTCCTTGGCAGAGTTAAAGCAAAAAAATCGGCATCTCCCTGTGCTGGATCTCTTTTTCTAGCACTCTTGTTCCCACTTTACTTGTTCTTCAAGTATTCAACCAGGCATTTTGATCTTAAGGAAGAAAGGAAACAGCCTACGCAGGTTTCTAATAGCTCATTTTGTATCATGGATAGATGGAGGGAATCTCTTGATTAGAGTAAATTACAAAAACCACCCATAACAGTGAAGAAATAGAATTTTAAGAAACAGAGGGTGAATAATAGGAGCCTGAGGTAAAGATGGCCTTTTACAAAAGGAAAGCATGGGTTTACCAATGTCCTCGTTTCCCCTGTGAGGAAGCACATAAGCTTTTTTTGTTGTTATGTTAGCTGAAATATGAACCTTGATTCTCTTTTTGGACACTTTTGCTTCTGTATCTTACAGCATAAATGTGTTCTTTTGTTCAATAGGCCTGTTGAAGAGGACGTGGTAGACAAGGATAGAATCCTCCAGCAGAAAGAGGCTGAGGTAAGAAGGAGCTTCTAAAACTGTTGTTCTTTAATGCAACGTGCTGTGCTCCAGTCTCAGCGTCCTACGTCAGCTGCTGCCCGTGGAGTGTGGGGCTGGGGTGTGATAAACAGCAGCCCTGGGCTGCCCATACAGGGAGCTTGGTTTGTAGCCACTGTGTGCTGTGGATGGCAGCAGCACGGGGACTCCTGGTGTCAGCAGGGCATTTATCACTTCAGCCTGGATGCTCATTTTCCATAGGGATAGTTGCTATTTTTAAAGTAATGAAATCAATTTACGTTTGTGAGCTATGTGTGCTGCTTGAGACGTGGCGTGTTGGGGTAGGCTGAGACTCTGATGCCATTTCAGATGGGCATGGCTTACTACAGGCATGTTCCCTGTACGTTTCTTCTCGTGTCTTGTGGCTGTGAAGTAGAAAAGGTTTGAGTTGTAAAAGTCCTGTGATATAATTAATGTGCGTGGCTTTTCATCTTAATCTTGTCTTGCAGCAAAATTAATAGTATTTCTCTTGTACCAGTCAACTTAAGAATCTGATGTTTTCAATCTCTGATTTCTTACTCTGGTTTCAAGTTGTTACTAGGCCTTTCAACTTAACATTTTTATGCTAAAGTTCTAAAGATTCAGAGATTTTTAGCCTGGTATTTAAATTGGAGTAGTACACTGCCAACGCCTATGACTGCCAGCATTGTGAAAACTTAAGACTTGCTGCCAACTGGAAGATAGTGTTTCTTCTGTTTATCCTTCTTTTACCTAATTCAGCTTGGATTCAAGTCCATAAATAGTGGAAGGCGTTATTTAAAAGATGAATGCATATATGCATGATTTGGAGTAGGAAATAAGAAACTACAAGCAGTTTTGTGTGTTTGAGGTGAAAGATTCAGACTCCCGTATATGGAAATTTTTGAAATATAGTTATTTCTGTCTGTGCATTTTCTTTTTCCTTTGTAGCATCCATATTTAAAAATAGCTAACCCTGGCATGTTGACATAAATAGCAAAAAAAAACTTTCCTAAAAGGAAATGCAGAAGCAGCTGATTATCACCATAACTAGTAGCTAATAATATGAATTACTGGAAGTGAAATGAGCTGCATCTTTATCGCTGTACAGCTTCACTTCAGCAGCACAAGCACCCTCAATGGCCATGCACTTAGTGGAATTTCTGTGAGTGTTCTGTACACAAATTAACTGCCTCCCACTGACTGACGTGTGCGAAACAACCCCAGACCATCAGCTGACAGCCAGGAGTACCAGGTGGTTTGAAAATGTCAAGAGCATTGTTTGGAAAGGTGGTGTAGCTCAAAGCCCCGGCCAGCCTGGCCTTGAACCCCTCCAGGGATGGGGTAGCCACAGCTTCTCTGGGCAAGTGTGTGTGTGTGTGTATATATATATATGTATATGTATGTATGTAATGTATGTTTTTATATAATATGACTAAAGGGATGAGGTCTTGAATTTCTTGGAGGACAATCTCTGAAAGTTTCTTCTGAGACTAATCACCTTGGAATAACTGCTGCTGAAGTTGCAGAGGATTAGGTTAGAACTTGAAAAAACAAATAGATTTTTAACTTCTGCATTCTATTATCCCAAAGAGATCAAGAGGCTTTGCTGAATCTTCTGTAGATAAGCTGGTCTGAAACCCCATCATCTCCATATCATCCCTAAGGTTCAGACTGGGAAGAGCCTGGGGAGGGAAGAGGCAGGAGGAAATGGGTTTGCATTCCATGGCCTTCGCAGAGAAAACAAATAGCCATTTCCCTCCCGTTGTGCATCCCCATCAGCACCGGGGCTTGGAGTTGTAGTTACAGTTGGGTGAGGTTCCTCTAACCTTGGAGGGAACGAACGCTTGGGCTGCTGCCAGGGTCATCTCTAGCCAGGCATCACTTCTGCTAAATGATCTTTTATTGTGCCAAAGGATGTGGTCCCCACTTCAGCAATCTGGAATTGCTAATCTGTCATTTTGGATTTATTGCTGAGCCTGGCTGTACTTTTTTGCTCATTTGCAAGTGATGACCTCTTTTTCTGAGCTAGCAAGTGAAAATAAGAGTATGGGATCCATGTTCCTTACTGTAAATATGCTGCAGTTCAGATTATTTTGATGTCGTAGTGTAAATGGGCATAAAGTTCAGGACGTTTGTAGTGCTGTGCTGTATTCTTCCTACTCTGAAAATATCTTGTAATAAAAACCTTTCAGAGTTTTGAGAGGCAATGCTTCCAGAAAAAAATTAAGGCTGTAATTATGTGGAAACAGCAAGGAATGAGCTTCCTCTGATTTTCCTGGTGAGCTGCCCCGAGGTGTTGGCACATCCCTGTGCTCCACTGCCCTCGGTGGGGCTGCCCAGCACCAGCCTGAGCATCGCAGTTAAATTGCCCCTGTGCTGTCGTGCTGTGACATCCTTCAGGGGACGATGGCAAGGTCCCTGCAGAACACAGCAATGCTGCTCTCACCAGGGAGAGGCTTTTGCTGTTGGGCAGGACCAGAGTCACGGTGTGCCCTTGGTGCTGGCGGTCCCTGAGGGAACACGGGTGTTGATGTGACACAACTTCAGTCTGTTGTGAGCTTTTGCATTTGCCTTTATTAAGAGGAAAGATGGTTTCTGTCTGTGCAGCAGGTCTGTAAGGGGAAGGCACCCGAGTTGGTTTTAGCTTCTGTTGTTATGTGCAGGAATAGATCTTACTGATTCTTATATGTGGCTATATCGAAAACTACACAATTATTCTTAGAATAATGAAAACTTCCTATACAAGCTGCAGATTATTGCATTATCTCCAGCTTGAGATGGACTTATATTTTATACAATGTGTGTGGAAATTGCAGCCTGTTTCTTTTCAAGTTTGTGAGATTGGGCACTTGTAATTGTGTGTGTGGAGCCTTCCCCACCCGTGTCTGGAAGGAAATACCTCATCATTTGTAAACCAAATTAGAGGTATTTGCATATACGTTTTGAAAATCCATATTACTGTTTCTTATTCTTTCTTAGGAATACTTACTTAAAATAATGTTATTTTTGGAAAAAAATGCATTATATATAATTGATCTCTTATGAGATGGAAATTAACTTGCAAGTGCCATAAGAAAACGCCTTTAAGAAAACAGTTATTTCCAGGAAAAATCATTGTTTAGATGCAAAAGTATTGGTGCTTAATATGTTTAGTCTCTCTTTCCAAATTTTGTAAACATATTTCTGTTTTGCTTTTGAAGTAGTTTCAAAATTCTGTCTGTGTTTTCAGCTGTTAGTGCTGCTAGAAGTTTCCCGAGGTCCATGGTAGCCCCAGATGAGTGTTGGCACATGGCATTGCCCGCTGCACACGTGTGTCGCAACAAAGCGGCGCTGGCTCCCTCAAGCAGGGTGTCTGCACGCACAGGAGGGGCCTCTGTGCTTTACTGGAGATTAAATGTCACTAACACAGGTCTGCAAATGTAGCTTGCTTCAAAGGATTTGGATTTTATTGCTTAATTTTCATTGTAAGTGATCTTACAAATGTTTTGTGGAAGTTGGATATAATGTATTAAGGAGTCTGAGGTGGGAAAAACAAAAGTTTTCAATCCTGTAAATTAATTGACATTTCCATTTTGTAAAGAAGCAAGTCAGATCCTCATTCTGCTATGGAAGAAAAAGATACAAAGTTTCCTGGGTTTTTGGATTTCTCATGAAATGGTTTTAAATGTGTGGGTGTTTTCCTCTTCCAGTTGCGCCGCATGCAGGAGATGATTGCACAGATGCAAGCCCAAATGAGGATGAAGCCTGGTGATGATTAAGATGCTTAACATCTGGATGCATCAGGTATTGCTTTTCTGACTGTTTACTCCTCTTACATAACAATAATCATTGGGAAAATTCTTAAGTTTGCACTTTGGAGTTGCCTTTACAGTACTTACACAGAACATGACTCCATTTTTTCTGTAGCCTAGAAAAAAAGACCTGTGCAGATGTCACCTTTCCAGCGGGTTTTAGGACCTCTAATTGTGTAACTTCAGTGCCTTGGTTTTGAATGATCTGTTTCTGTTAGCAAAAGAAACAGCTCAGGAAACTAATTTGACTGTATATAAACAAAAGTTCTGGTGTTTTGGGGGGTGTGGTCTGCTGAATTTATAGCAGGTTTTTCAAAGCACCAAACAGAGCTTGAGGCAACTGGTGATGTGCTGAACGAGGAGTCTGGTGATGCCGTGTGTGATACCATGGGTGGGATCAGAGGGAGGGAAGAAAAACCAATTCCTGTAGCAAATATTCCTGCTTTCTTCAGAATGCAGCTCTTCTGGCATAACTTCTCTTTTAAATGCAAGAATAAAAAAGAGAAGGGTATGAGGAGTCCTGTTGCTTAATACTCCAGTTTAATACTCCAGTTGTGATTGCTGGTCTTCTGGAATGTAAAGCTTGAATAAAATGGATTATATTATCCCTTATGACCTTGTGGCAGCTGCCAACATTCCAAGCCTAAAATAAGGAGATTTTTTGTTGCCTTTATTTGAACCTTCAGCCTTCCTGTTTATATTTAAAAAGAAAAATATAAAAAAAAAAAGGAAGAAAAAGAATAAAAAAGTTTCCTAAGGAATAAACTTATTCACTGAATTTCTCTTTAAGCAGAAGTTGATGGTTTAGTGTACTGGGAATCTTTGAGTGAAGTAGTTTAGGGGGGAGAAAAGTAATTCAAACTCAGGTTTCTTGCTGTCATAGTTCCAAGTCTTGTGGATAGAGGAGTCTTCACATCGTGTCTTCCAGCTTTCATGCTGAGATCTGTTTTCCCAGCACTGGGAATCTAAACAGTGAGGAGGATTTTGGGGCTGAGGATGCAGTGTGTGTGATGGCAGTGTCTGACACAGAGCTCTTGCTTCCTTGGGCAGGAATGGGGAATTTTCCAGCCTGTTCAATACGTTAGTCTGAGCTCAAGGCCCTGTTTTCATGGAGACTTTGTTATCCTGTGGCCAAATTCTGACCACTTGTGAAAGCAGCTGCTCGATGCAGGAGACCTGGTGCAGTCTACATTGTTATCACAGATTTCTGTGAAGGAGCTTGAGTCTGTGTGTAACTTACGAGTCCCATTGAATCACATGGCATCCTTCAAACTGATACTGAGTAAGAAAAAACCCACCCTGAATCTACTCAGCGTGTCCATAGCTGTTGCTGGCAGAGCACGGGTGGCAGATGGTACAAATACAGTCAGAACTGTCTTCTGGCTTTGCCATGAAGCAGTACCCGAGGGCCAACGGGATGCAGCGTTCCCGTAGATCGTTAGCCAGTTATGGCACCAGATTCCCTGTGTTTCACAGCTTCTGGTATTTATAAAAACAAATTGGGGCATGGTTTGTGCCAGGCTGAAGTTGCAGCCATGGATACGTAAGCAAACAGTTCTGAGCACCCTCACGTGTGTCCCAGGGAGATGTTCTGTAGATCCCGTGTTGCTAGAGGGGAGCATAGTCCCATTGAATCACATGGCATCCTTCAAACTGATACTGAGTAAGAAAAAACCCACCCTGAATCTACTCAGCGTGTCCATAGCTGTTGCTGGCAGAGCACGGGTGGCAGATGGTACAAATACAGTCAGAACTGTCTTCTGGCTTTGCCATGAAGCAGTACCCGAGGGCCAACGGGATGCAGCGTTCCCGTAGATCGTTAGCCAGTTATGGCACCAGATTCCCTGTGTTTCACAGCTTCTGGTATTTATAAAAACAAATTGGGGCATGGTTTGTGCCAGGCTGAAGTTGCAGCCATGGATACGTAAGCAAACAGTTCTGAGCACCCTCACGTGTGTCCCAGGGAGATGTTCTGTAGATCCCGTGTTGCTAGAGGGGAGCATGGCTGGGACCGCTCGGTGTGTTACACAGGGGAGCTCTGCAGGTTTGACCGAGTGTCCATATGATCATCTTGTGGGGCAGTTTGAACTAAATCTCAAGAAAGTTAGTTGATCTGAAATACTGAATGTGAACAAATTTGAAAAGGATTAGAATGAGAACATCATGTGGACATCCTGCTGTTCCTTTGGCATCACGAAGCTGCGGTTCTGCAGCTGCTGTGGGAGTCATTGTTTGACAGATTGCTTTCAGGCAAGAATTCTGAACTTTTTTTTTGTTACTCTTGAGGTATTGATTGAGAGACATTTAGTGTGATTTGCTGACTGTAGGCACAGGCAGGAGGGGGGTTGCAGCCCCGCTGACCCAGCGCGTTGCTGGGGGATGGTGACAGCGTGGGGAAGGGAATCCTCACCTGGAGCCCGGCCTCACAGAGGGCTCTCCCCTGCACACCCAGTGCCTGGAATGATGATCTCAGCCTCCAGCATTCCCATCAGATTTATTTGCTGTATTTTATTCAACTCGCTATTTCCAGAGAAACCAGGAAACTTGTAATTAGCACAGTATTTAACAGAACCAAACTGCCAACAAATTTAAATATACTTGATATCAATCTTTTTGTTCTGTTACAGCTTATCTTGAGCATCTCGTAGGTTCTAGTTTTACAAGAACTTTAAAGGATCAGCTTTGCTACTGTCTCTCCTCCAATTGCTCTTTTGCACCCTTCTTATGCTGAGAAAAATATTTAACTTCATAAATAACTTAGGTAAAAATTAACATTTTCCTCCTCTTTATTTTAGACAAGTTCCTATCTGTTCATTTTCTTCAAAAGTCCCTTAAAAATATATTCCCCTTCACAAAGCACAGCTGTAAAGATATTTTCAGATACTTGGGGAAAAGAGCAGTTTGGTGCAAATACCTTCATAGATAAGGGCTGAAGAGCGAGCAGCAGGATAACGAAATGTGGTAACGTCCAAACATGTGAAATACATCTGAAACCAGAAGTGGGTATTTCGGGGTGGGGAGGAGGTTGCTGAATGCTTTGAGGTTTTCTGGAAAGAGTCTGGCATTGCACAATGATGAGAAGTGCTGAACTCAAACCCTCGCTGAAAAGAGTGGTGAGTCTGTGTGATCACGAAGTGCTGCGAGATGGGGTGACTGGAAGCTCTGGTTTGCCCCATCCCTTTTGAATGGGGGTGTCTTTCAAGGGTTTGTGGAAAGAACAAAGGGAAAAATGACTTCAAACAGTTTCCTTCTCTCTCAAGCCAGAGTTAAGAGAAGCATCGGGGGGGTGACAGACGATACACAGGGGCCATGCTCAGAGGATGGAGAGATCTGTTGGGGTGGAGGAGCAGAAGCCTGATGGGGATGGGGAGCAGAGCTGGTGGGGACTGGGTTAGGGCAGGGGAGGAAGGTGGGTTGGAAACAGTAGTGCCCAGTGTGTCAGCTGCAGTGTGTGCCAAAGCCTGTGAGCCCAGGCCGAGTGGAGAAGCTGGGGGTGATGGGGGGCTGTGGAGAGCAGCCCTGCCAAAGGTGTGCTGACCTGTGCTTGCCTCTGAACCTCTCACAGCTCCCGCACACAGCCAGCACCCAGGGAGGTGTGTGCCCCAGCAGTGACAGCACAGCGAGGCACCAGAATATTTATGGTTTATTGGTTTGGGTTTTTTGCTTTTTTACCTTGACTTTTGAGATACTAATATTTATGGTTTATTGGTTTGGGTTTTTTTTACCTTGACTTTTGATATACAAATCTTACAAGTCCATGTGAGGCCTGGTGAAAATTTCAAGACGAGCTTGGATTGCTGCCTATGTTTGACAGGTCAAATGAAGGATTGGAGAGGGAGGAGATAGAGGGGGTGGAGTAAGTTACCAAAAATTAAAACAGATTTAGTTTTATTTGGATAGTCTACTATGAAAAGCTTTTGAAATTAGCCTGCAGTAATTCCAACAGCATATTTACCAGTTTCTGAACTTGTCCATCTCAAATGAACAAGTATTACGAAAAGCTGGAATTGTTTTTTCAAATGAAATGGTTATTAATGGGCGTTTCTTCCATTTCCTTCTCTTTCTGAAAGTGTAGTGCTCTGCAATCTGTTTTCCTCTTGTTATTCTTACAAATCTGGGTTGTCTGTCTTCCACCCAGCTTCGGATCGTGCTGGGACAAACCAGTAACAGAAGCCAGGCTGTGGAAAACAAATATAGCCAGCTGGAAATGCAGTTATGGTTAGGGAAGCGTGTTCAGGAAAAAACCCAAGCATCTTGCACTTAAAATATCTGTAGGATGGTGAAAATGCTTTTATTATAGCTCATGATTTCCACAACTGTTCTAAAGCCTCCTGAGCTCACTACCACTGCTCTGATTCTCGGTAAGAACAGTGCTGAAGGCACCAAACAGCCCGTGTTTTCTACCAGTGGACTGACATCATTGAGCAGAACAACACAAAGCATTGTCATAGCAACCAGCCTCCCGAAACGGTGCTGCTGAATGCGGAATTGATCTGATGAGAGATGTCATTTGAGGAAGTGAGGATCATGGTGTAGTTTTTGGCAGCTGAAATTGTGAGCCTGGAGAATGTGAAGCAAGTATTTGGGAGAAGTGCCTGGCGGTGCCAGTGGCTGTTCCTCTGGCTGGAAATTGGCCCAGCAGAGTCCCTCCTCCTCCTCCTGCCCTTCTCGGCACTCTCGGGGTGGAGGAGCTCAGCAAATCCTACGGTGGTGGCCCAGCACACGTTTTGGTTTCCCTTAGAGGGTAGACTTCTGATTGAAATTGTATTTTTTTTTTTTTCCTTTGTTATTGCCACCCTGCAGCGGGTGCCCCCCTGCCCTTGTGTGTAACGCACAGAGCCCCAGGCAGGCTTTGGATGAGGGTCACGGTATGGCTTTTATTCCTTGATGTACAGAACAATAGGACTTTCATTTGTGTTTGTTCATCTAAAAGTATTATCAGCAAGATAGTCCCCCCACCTCCCCAAAACTGAAACAGACTCCAGAGCTTTCCAAGGGAGTGACGCAATGTTTGCAAAACATCAAATGAAAAAGATCGACACACCCAATAGCAAGCTTTTTCTGATACTTTCACATAATTGCCCAAACTGTATCTCAATACATTTTGTCACTCAGTGGATTAATGTAGATCAGTTCAATTTTTGTCAAGTGATCCCAGAGAAGGTAAAACAGAGAGAATGTGATGTTCCTAATGGGTCACTGCAGAAACCCTGTTTTGTGGGGAAATGTCAGGGGGGAGTGGAAATACATTTACTTGCTTTTCAGAAATGTGCCAATGCCTTGGGAGGGATGAAGTCCCAGCACAGTGGCTACAGCAGCATTGTCAGTTCTTGTGAATACGTGTGGGGACACCTTGCACTCTGCCCAGGAGTGATCCAACGGGCATGTCCCACCTCCTGTGTCTCCGTGACACAGGGCTGGGTGCAGGAGGGATGCAGGGGGCCAGGGGAGGTACTGGCTGCCAGGATTTCTCAGACATTAGTGGATCTGAGGATGGGCTGCAGGGACCTTCCAGCTCCATGCCAGAGCCTGACGTGGTGTCACGGGGGACTTGGAAATGCTTCAGGCCACCTTTTGCTAAATAAACACTTTCAAAGGAACATTTCTTGTACTTCAAGAGCTTGGAGCCTGGTATGTATATGTGACTCAGTGAATATTAGCACATTAAATTAACTGGTAAACATTAGAAAGCAATTCAAACACCAATTTTTTAAGTTAGCAGATGTCATCAGCCAAGTATATGCTGTGGGGAAGTATAAGGGCTTGCTACAGACCAGCAAAAGGAAAGGGAACAAACTTGAAGCCTCAAAGTCATCAGAGGGTGACTGAAATATCAGAAACCCAGAGTATTGGGGGTGAGTGCCAATGTGAGTCCAAACTAGTGAACAACAGGACAGTGGCGTCACCCAATACTTGTTCTGGAAAGATGCAGTTTCTCAAAGTTCTAGCTGATGCCTGGGCACTACAAGGGCTGCAGCTACCACATGGGATGGGTGCTATTTGAAGGAAAAGAATTTAGGTCAGTGAGAAAATGTAACTGCTTATAAAGCAAATTTGTGTGATTGGGAATTCAGAAGTGCAGATGGGGAGGTGTCACTGCGTCGCAGTGGGGCTGGGAGCAGCCGAGGCTGCAGACCCTTCCTCCCTGTGTCGTCTGAAGCGCCGTCAGGAGCTCACATCGCAGCTGGAGGCGTTGGTGAAAGCTCTGTATTGGTGAGGGGAGTATGGGGACTGTAAGGTTAGTCTAATAAAACTGGAGATCAAACCTGTAAGGAGTGGTATCAACCTACTATATCATGAACTATTGTCTCATAAGGAGATTAGGAGGAAAAAGCAGTGAAATGAATGCAGGCCAAGATGCACAACCGTACCTTGCCCAAGTACGTTCTATGAGCATATAATATGTGGCTGTTGATGTGTCATAAAATGCGTTGCTGATGCTGGTAACACCAGTGCACAGCTGTGCTCCTAACAGCATTCGTTTTTATTAGAAATTCCAGCCTTTTTGTGAGTCTGAAACATCAGTCATGGTTTCCTCTTGGGCCGCCTCCTGTGACAGACCAGCATTAGGCAGGCAATGGCAGAAATTCAGCTTCTCTGTCACTCTCCAGGTGGCTGTGTCGCACAGTAGGTTAATTTTGAATTTGAATATTGAATTTGGTTAATGTGTGGACTCTGGCTTTAAAGCCTTGATGCTGGCTTGCTTGCTCTGGTTGTTGGGGAAGTGGTGGCCTCCTTACGATGGTAAGTGACTGTGTATTGAACGGAATTCCCGCTGTGGGAATGGCAAAGAGCCCAGGGCCCTGTCACCACTTCCCTCGCTCCCTGTCCCAGCGTGGCCTGGGTGAGGGCTGCCCTGTACAGGTGAGGTTACACAAGGCTTTTCTAGGATACTTCTTTTTTCCATCCAGATGAATGTTTAGATTAAGCTATTTTTCCTACCGGGAATGAGTAGTTTTGGTGCTGGAGAATTGGAGGTGTCTCCGAACTCCAAATCTGATGCGGCTGCTCGAGCAGGGCCTGGTTTCAGGGAAAGCTGGATTTCTGCTTTCTTTGTAGCAGCCTTTTAGAATGGCAAATAACTAGAGATATCCAAAAGTGGTAGTAACTTAGATGACAGACAGGTATCCTGTCCCTCAGCTGCATGTGTGCTGCTGTGTGAGTGCTTGGGAGATCCCTTTGCCCGACTGCTGTGAGGAGCAGAGTCAGAGGGTGTTGGGGCAGGGCCTCAGCCTCGTGGCTGCCGTGGCCCTGCGTGGAGAAGGGGCTGTAGCCCAGGGGCTGTGCTCTCCCAGGGGTGTGGGTGCTTCAGAAAGTACGTGGCTAAAAATAGTCTCACTTTATGTGCTCTTATTAGATATTTCTGATAAATATTTGGGGCCGAACTGTGTCTGACGGGGCCGGGCCGGTTCCCTTGCAGGCCTGAGATGCAGTGACTGGAACCCCCAATTCCCTGGCTTCTCTCAGGGGGGCTCAGGCTGCCCCAAATGCCAACGGGGCTGAGAGTTTGTCCTGTCTAATGCTCTTTGTTCTCCACTTGTGTCCGCAGCAGCACATGGCTCTGTCGTGGATGGGGCTCTTTTTCTCTGGCCGAACGGTAACGTCCCAAGGCAAACGCTGGATGCCGCAGATCAAGACCTGCGTTAAAACAAACACAAAGTCTGAAGATCGTGTTGTAAAACGGCTCGTTTTATATATTCAATGTTAATCAAGTTATATTGTATCTTTTTTGATTCTTTTGGTAACACTGTCTTCACACTTATAAATGTGCTTTTATTATCCTTCCTATACCTTTTTATACCGGAACTGACAGAGTGTGCTCTGTGGAGCATCATTGTGGTGGGTTAAGGAGTCAATCATGTATCTGCTGGGTTATTCTGAACTGTTTCGTGATTCATACTAAATGACGTGGTGGCCTGTTTACAGTAACCGTATGTGTGTGTGCACAGTATCACAGCTTTCATTGCCTTTCTCAGTCATTGTGTATCGTATCAGTTTCTCATAACTCTTTCTGCACTTCCGTTACTTCTGAGGCTTCATCTCTGGTGATTTCTGTTTGTGATGTACGAGGGAAGGTACAACCCGCTGAGGACTCACCGGTGGTGCCGAGGAGCTGCCTTGTCATCGTGCCTTACCACACACAGACACTGCCGGTGCCGGCGGCTCCGGGGCTGCCCCCGGGGACTGCTCCTTGGGTCCCGGGTGCCGATGGCAAGGATTTCTGTCACAGGTGTTTCTGTCAGCTGCACGATGGCATGTACTGACCTTTTTATATACCATGACACTAATTTTCATTCAAGTTTTGTAATAAATTGTACCAGTTGGAAAGTCTTGAATTTTGGGGTGGTTTTTGTTGTTTTGTGGACTTTGGCTTTTTCCAGCTCATGTGTGAAATGCTGTAATGGTGTTGTACGCGGTGCATAATCGAAGGAATCATGTTTACCCTGGGGAACAAAGGCATTCTCTGGAATTTATCTACATACAAACTCCTTTGATTTCACATCAAAACAAATTTAGAAGTGTCTTAAGCAGCAGGGCTTTGCATCTACTTTTTTTCCCCTCAAAGTTCATTAGGCGCCTACGACAGCTTTTAGGTGGGTAAATGCCTTGGAAAATCTGATTGCACACCTTACTTTGTAAATTCATCAACTGTTGCTGTTCCCTTCATGTCATCGCTGAGTGCGTGGCTCTCCTCTGCATGCTTTTGGAGTCTTGCCTGTAATATACAGTCATGAGCCTAAATCATTTTGTAAATATGGGATTGAGACATTTTGTCTTCTGTACTAGATTGGGGTGTCTTTCATGTAGTGATTAGCCCTAATTTTGCTGTCCGGCAATGAGTGCTTATTCAGGGTGGGATTAGCACATGATTTGCATCTCAGGGCTGTGTGTTGGCTCTTGTTTGAGTTGAACTGCGTAAAATGGACAAGACATGGTTACAGCAGCCCCTGGGACAACAAAGTTGAAAGAAGAAATGGAGTGACAGATTTGTGCTTATAGAGGGTGTGAAACATACATGTGCCTGTACAGGGTGTCAAACATAGGTGTGCCCACAGTGTGTGCCCATACAGGGTGTGAAACATACATGTGCCCGTACAGGGTATGTAACTTACAAATGTTTAGGAGTAAACATATTCTCGGGAATTGTGTGCCATTATTTGCACCTTTCTCGTTGTTTTTCTTCCAGAATTTTGCACCATGTTTTGCAGCCACCTCAAACCGACGTGCTGTGCTTTAGTGCCTGTGGACGTCAGGACGGTCACTCCCCCCGAGAGCCAGGGCTGCAGCTGTTCCTGGATTCGCTCAGAGCAAAGGTAACACGGAGGGTCCATCGCTCACAGCAGAGCAGGGCAGTGGGGAAGCAGGCTTTCAAAGGTGTCTGGTCTTTAGTTTTATTAATAGAGTTTTTTTTTTCACCTCCCCTCTTTTCAAAGCAAGGCACCTAAAGTCACCATCACAATTCTTGTGTGTGCAGCCTCAGTGAACAGATTTCCAGTAGTGGATATTGATTATTGATTGATAAACTCTGCTGCCTTCTGGCCTGTGAATTCCAGCTGGAGCATCTGGGCTCGAAATCTGAGATCTATTTGAGTAATAGTCAAAGGGCTCACGATGCTGCTGGTACCATACCTGAGTGCTTTCAGCATGGACTTGATTTTATGCCTTCTACTGCTTCTTTGATGCTAATTTTCAGTTGCATTTGAACTTGATTTTGTTAAAATATTTCACAGCTTAATGGGGGAACCTATTTGTTAAGCCAGGTCTTTGCTACCGTGGAGATTTCTGGAGAGAGGGCTCTGGCTGGAGCCTGGATTCTGTCCCTGCAGATCCATGTTGGTGGTGCTGGGGCTGTGGGAGATGAGTCCCTTCCTCTGAGTTCCCCCCCAGCCTTCTCTGGGCTGGCCCCTTCCCGTGCTGGGACAATGCCCAGGAGTAACTGGTCCATCAGCTGCTCAGCAGGGCTGAGGAGCCGGTGACCCCAGTCCTCTGTCTTCCTTAAATTTAAAACAGCGGCAGATGATAAAATGGCACATGAAAGGCTGATGGTTTGTTGGCGCCTTTAATTGTGGTGTAGAGTCTGAGATGGTCTGTGGTGCTCTAGTGTTTAAAACCAGGCAAATATGCTGACAACTACCTCTTTTATTTATTTTCTGATGCTTTGAATCAATGGCTGAAAGAGAACTCAGGATGAGTTAATGGGTTTTTAAAGCATACATTCCTGGGCTTGCCAGCCTCTGGTCCTGGAAGCGTCCTCTTTTGATACGAGGGATGTTTTGAATGAGAAGGTGGAAGAAATGGCAAGATCCCGGCTGTGATGAGTACGAGCACATGAGAAATCCCTGCTGTGGCATCGCTGTGGGTTTGTTCCAAGGCAGGGGGGTGTCCCTGTGTGTGCTGCCATGGCCGTGCCACCCTCGTCCTGTCCTGTATCACAGGACTTTCCAGTCTGATTATTTGCCTGTCCTTGAGATGTGGAAGCTGTGACCCCTCCCTGAGCTGTGGAAGGAGCTGGGTGTCCTGAGCCTTCACACCCCTTTCTCCTGGCTCCTTTGCTCTTGGGCTGGGGTTCCTGGGCCCTGTTCTCAAATCACGTGCTACTGCTGCTTTTGGGGTGCTTAAAATTCATTTGAGTTCTCTCCTGCCTTTCCTTAAAGAGTGATACTGGCAGCTTTTACCTAAAATGACTTTGTGCATCACCTCTTTAAGATGGTTTGGTGGGGAGGGAGCACACGCCTGCCTCGCACAGCGCCGTTGCAGGATGATTCAGGCCTTCCCACTGCATTCGGAGAGGCTAAATCTGGAAACGCATTTCCTATTTATTCCATTTGTGTTTGGTTTTCTTGGGGTTTTTTACAATGGTGTATTCCTTCTGGCTGTTGTGTTTGTGTCCCAGCATCCCCTCTTACCCTGTCTCAGCCTTCAGCCAGCTCCGGGGGGCCGGGGGAGCTGTTACACGGGCCCTGCCTGGGAGATGCTGTTGGGGTGCTCCAGTCGCCGTCTGCTGCGCTTGTGGGGGGGTCGCCTCCCTCTCCAGCCCTGGGGGTCCCCGGGCCCCCCCCCGTCGCCTCCCTCTCCAGCCCTGGGGGTCCCCAGGCTCCCCCCATCGCCTCCTTTCCCGGGGCTCCCCCTCCCGCCCCATCGCTCCCCCCTCCCGCGCTGTCATCCTTCCACCCCCGGGGGTC